CAGCTAAAAATATATGTAGAAAAAATTAGCCGGGCATGGTGGCGCATGCCTGTGGTCCCAGCTACTTGGGAGGCTGAGGCAGGAGGATCGCTTGAGCCCAGGAGTTTGAGGTTGCTGTGAGCTAGGCTGACGCCACGGCACTCGCCCCAGGCAAGAGAGTGAGACTCTGTCTCAAAAAAAAAAAAAAAAAGAAATGAAGTCGAGAATTAAAGAAAAGAGGCAAATTGAGTGGAAGGTGCAGGGGACAGAGGAAATACACAGGGGCCACCTGCAGTGACACCAGCTGGGGGGACGTGGAAGGGCAGAGGGAGGAGGAGAGGAAAAGGGAGCGAGGGGATGAGAATGTGTGTCTGTCTATCAGAGGGCTGATGTGTGTCACAGATATGTTCTTCCCGGCAAAAGAAACACAATGCCTTTGCCTGCTGGACTGAAAATGTGCGTCTTAGTAAAGCAGCTGGCTTGAAACCCGCACCCCTTCTGAAATCCCGCCCCCCACCCCAGAAGAAATCAGCTCTGGCTGGGGTCTGGGGAACCTGGGTGGAGGCAGTGAGACGGAGGAGGGGAACGGCAGCCTTGGTTAGGAGTAGGGCTACGGTCTCTGTCCAGACAAGGGGCTGTCTCACAGACACGCCCTGCGGCTGTCGGGAGGAGACGGTGGACTAGGGCCAGGGCAGGACTCAGGGTCCAAGGCCGTGGTGACTGATCCTCAGGCACGCAAGGACAGGGCCTCGGGGACGAGGCCTTGCACCTGCCATCTCCCTGTGGTTCCTCCTGTGCACGCTTCCTTCGGCTGACTGGAAGGAGACTGGGCCCTTGTCACATTTTGTGCAGTTTATGGACAGTTCAGAGGTTACTGCTGAGACCTATCTGGCAATCTCAGGTGTCATGTGATTTGAATACGTAGATAAATGCGGCTTTTGTTACTTTAATTCCGCCCACTGTTCAGGCATTGCCCTGCGAGGAACTAGAATATAAACAATCACTGAAAGCCAGACTGTTAAGATGAGCTGGCCCTTAAGTTTTCAGAGAGATAAACTAACACTTTTTTTTCAATATGCGGGGGCTGTTTCTTTACACACTGCAATTACAGTCAGAGGGGAGAGGGGAAGCTCGCGCCTATACCGACACTCCACGTTGCTGGTAGCCGTGAATGGAGTTACTGTTAAGCCTGGAATGTGAGCTAAAAGGAACTATATTTTATTCACTCAAATAGGACCATTTTGCTGTACTATGGAATGCTGGAGAATGATGCTCCAGGAATGCACATCCATATTTATAAGGCTTGTTCCTATAGTGTGCAAATGCCAAGCACATCATATTCTGCAGCCCTCTCGCTGCCAGCGTCTAGATTTTCCCAGATCTTTCACAGCCATTCTTCAGACTAAATCTGCAAGAGCAAAGCAGAAATAAAAATAAAGTTGCTGTCTTCTTGAGCAAACTACAGATACTTCCATAGTTAAAGCGAATTAAAAAAAAAAGAAGAAAAGAAAAAGAAAAAGCATATAGATGGAAAGACACTTGCTCTAGAAGAAGTGGCTAAGAGAAGGCGTTTTTATTCTTTGTGTCCTTGACAGTTGCATTAGGTGTCAACATCCTCAAATATATGAGTTTGACATTTGTAAGTGAAATCTAGCTGAGCAGGACAGACTAGCTACTGAGCGTGGAGATTTTCCCTCCTATGCCAAATAATCGGTGGCACAAAGAGACTAAGCATTTCCCGACAAAGGTGTGGTATAATTCTAAAAATTACCCGCAGGCTTAGACTGCGGCAGCCCTGCGTGTTATCATCAGTTAGTGCATGCCTCCCAGCCTGGTCTTATCTCAGACAAACAGGCACCCTCCCTAATCCATGCTCTGGGCAGCTGCAGGCAATGTCAAGGTCACTGTAGCCCAGTGCAATGAAGTGCAAAGCTTCTGAAGCCATGCGTGTTACAGCAGGTGAACAGTGACTCTGGACAGAGCGCAGATTTTAAGACCTGGAGGGGCCCTTCAGATCACCTATCACGGCATCCCCTTACTTTTCAGGTGGGGAAAGCGTCAGAGAGGTTAAACGGCTTCGCCAAGGCCACACAGCCAGGTGGTGGTAGCTCTTTATTTCTCTTTATTACCCCGCATTCCTCACTCATTCAAATGGTATTCACACTGCCAGCCACGGAGCAACGGACTTGTTATGTGCAGGGTCCTGAAAAGGGACACCATGGTTCATTTTGCCCCTATAACTGTCCTGTATATTAAAATTTGTTCTATGTACATGTATTATTTTTATGCTCAGAAAAAAATAGGTAATTTTTCTTTGGAAAAAGAAATTGTGGCAAGTGGTAGAGTCACATAATTCAGGAAAGGGCAGGCTGGTTTATGCTGTGCTCCGTCCTTCTGCACTCAGTGGGGCAATTTCGGGACAGTTCTCGGTGAGATGACCACGTGTGAACACTAGAGGGCAACCTTTCCAAATGCAGTCACTACAGACGCTCTTCCGTGGGGTTCCCAGGGCTCCAAGGGCTGGGGAGTTTCCTAAGCCACAGAGAAAAGTGTTTTGTTTTGTTTTTTAAATGGCATTCCAGTAGAAATCTCATTTCCAAAAGAATGTCTAATAATGGTGGGTAATCAGCTCGCCAGGAAATTCGCTGTCAAATAGGTGTTAGCCATTACGTTCCTCTTTTTAAAAATAAACATACACACATACACAAAGACAATTCCAGACATAAAAACATACATGCCTCTGACACAATTAAACTCTCTCATTCCATGCTGGCGTCTACAAGGGGGCGGTCTTTTAGGCTGCTTACTAAGCATCAATACCAGCATAACGTTGTCATGGAAAAATGCAAAGCATTCATGCAAATTAATAAAGTTACTACTATTTCTGACTTACCAGGAACATACTGCTTAGTCGACTGAAAAATAAAGCACAGTCCTTTGGGGGTGATACGGTTATATCTTAGGTCACTCCAAAAATCACATTTTCTACGCTAATGGTCCCCACTTCCCTCCTCGAAGAGCAAACAAAGCCTTTTACAAATTATCAAAGATACAACTACAGAGCTGAAAGGAAGCTTGTGAATCCATGCAGCAGACGCAAAATTAGGCAGACCTCATAGGAGTAGATGGTGTCAAAAGGAGAGCATGCAAATTAAATAGTTATTCTGCTTTACTCACATTTTACTCCTTGTGTTTATAGAACTATCGCTTCAAGGAAGTTAGTCGTTTAACATTTTATTAATTATGACACCAGACTCTTGAAATCAAATCATGCCTTATGTTAGCAGAAATACCAGACACTCACGTATTTTTATTGCTTTTCTAGAACTCCAATACTGCAGAATTATTCAATATATTTTTTTACAACCCTAAATCTACTTCTCGGAGTGGCAGTGGCACGTGATGTGATGTTTCAGAGCAGATACCATTTAAGACAAATTATTATCTAATTTTTAAAGAACTCCTAGAAAGCCCTCATAAACTACAGCTGTCGTGTGGACTGAAAACCTGGGAGTCATCCTCTTTGAAAGGGGCTGTGATGGGCCAAGGGGTGAGAACTTCTTAGGAATAATATTCCAGGAATCAAAAGACTTGAAAAAGGAGGAGGGTCAAGGTGGTCTTTGGCCAGCACCATCCTCCCCTCTTCTCCAACCTGTGAGAAGTGACAGCTCACTTTTCCTTCTGAGTCTACAAAAAGTGTCACGAGCACAGCCAGGTGGAACCCAGAATGGAGCCTGCTTAGGAAATGCTGGGATCGAAGGGACGTGCCCGGGTCAGATCTGAGGGCAAGGCCATGGCCTCGGGCAGTGGTGGCAGCATCTAGGCAAGGTGGGCGTGGTGCCAGGTGTTGGCTACTTCCCCGTTTGCCATCTGCTACATTCAGCTGAGTGTGTGTGGAATATGTGACCAAACACACGTTCCACAAAACATCACAAAATACACAGAAACAAGAACATCTCAAGAAGATAGAGAATTTTCTTTTGAGTACCATGCTTCATCGTACCAGTAGGTACCGAGGCCAGCTGTTCCTTTTTTCTTTCTGCTCATTCATTCGTTCATTCATTTAATCCTTCCTGGTTATAGACTTATAGACAGATGGAAATCGGCAGCCTGGAAAGCCTCCAAGCACGCTCACCTTGGAGAAGTGCTTGCTTAGGCATTTCTTTGGGTGAGAGAATTCCACCCAAGCAACTGGTCAAACCTACAAAGGCAGACCCTAAGTGTCTTTGCTCTTCTCACTTTTCCTGGATTTCACATTCTTTCTTTCTATTTTTTTCAACACAGGGTCTCACTATGTTGCCCAGTCTGGTCTGGTCTCAAATTCCTGGGCTCAAGCAATCCTCCCACCTCAGCCTCTTGAGTACCTGGCATTCCAGGTGTGTGCCTGGCTGATTCCTTGTTATTCCAGGCACCTTTGGTGAAGAATCATTAACTACATTTTCATTGCTAGGGAGTTGCCACCGGAGTCAATTCTAGGTAGGAAAACTGCCCTATTCTGCAGAGTGAACAGGAGGAAAGTTTAAGAGCTTTTCCTTTGAGATAAGGCATCTTGGGAAACTAAGATTTACAAACACAGCAGAAAAATAAAGAGTCTCACCATTCACTGTCCCATGACGGAGACTCAGAAAGCAAATATGTGCTGTGCGTGCTCTTGGTTGACAGCCAGCCCCAAGGCAGGGACTATGAGCAATGCTTAATGGTTGGACCTCTCTCCTCCCATCCAAGTGCTATAGCTTCTCTTGGGTATTTGTTCCCATGTCCAGTCAAAAATGAGGGAACAATTTGAGAGAAAAAGAGAGGGTGTGTCACTCAGGTGGGTACAACGGTGACAATGTACCTCTCACAGGTGGACGGGAGGTTTCCAGAGAACCAAGTCAGGTTCAAGAAAGCAAAAATTCTCATCAGGAGTGACCCCTGACCTCCTAACCCACTACTCAAGGACAAACTAGCGTTTGTTCCCAGTCCCCTCCACAGCCGGGTCCCTCCTGCGGCTCTGACCTTCCAGGCTCAAGCTGTCTTACCTGAAGAGTTTTGACTTTGCCCAGGATGTTGTCCTGTGACATTGCTTGAACTGTCTGCTCACTTTCTGCTCCCCCATCAGGGATAAAAATACTGTCATGAGAAAACGCCCGGGTTCCCATAGAATAGTTGAAGGACCTGGAATGCAAATCACGTGCTTCATTTTATTAGGATGATAACATTCCTTTCGACAATTCGGTTTTCTGTTCTTCCTGCTTTGAGGGACTCCACCCACATTCCCTGTCTTTTCAGCAAGCACTGCTGGCTCTGTGTCCCTTTCTGCGGGGGTCGGCCAAGTCGCTGGGCAGACAAAAGGGTCCTACAGGAACGGGGGAGCATGCCTCTTACCACACCCCTAACTCCGAGCCACCCGTGGAGAGAACGCAAGACAGTAATTTATTTGTGTAGGATCCAGGACAGAAGGCACAGCAGAACCTTTAACTGGAGGAGCCTTTCTCCAGCTGAGCTGTCACTATCAGTTCTGTCCCAGTAAGTCTCGCCAACCCGCATTTATCAAGTGACACACAAATCTAGACGTAAGAGGCAAGAGCTTCTTTCTCTTAGACTACAACCAAATTGGAAGAAAGATACACACACCGCAAACAAAGACTTTTAAGAGCACTAGAATTGTTGTTAAGGACTATAAATGCCTTAGGAATTCAGAGAAAGGGGAAGAAATCTGTGTGAGGGCCATCCTGATAGGCGCTGTGTATACTGAATACCTTAAAAGTGGCGGGTCCCTAACAAGAAACACTGCTCAGTTCAAGAGTTACACTTGGAGGAAGTCTGACGTGCGCCTGACAGTGAGGTGGAAGCCATGTGAGATGCAGGAGGAGGAGGCAGCAGGACCAAACTGTTCCTTACTGATCTTGAAGCTAACTGGTCCCCGGGAACGCATACACACTGAGGCCGCTAGCTCCTCACGGGGGGCAGGAAGAGCGGCTATGCCCTCCCCACGGCAAGGCAGGCACATTGCCACGATGCCAGGCAACACAGGTAGCACTCGGAGGGCTCAGAGCACCACTTCTCCCTTTTCTCCCCAGAAAGGGATTCCAACGGGAACTTTTCTCGGTGATCAGGCCCATGAGAAAACAGCCAGCACTGGGGGCAGTTGCTTCCAGGGGGTGCTTCCGAACTGAGTTACAGAATGCAGCACGCAGGGTCTCGGGGCGGCTGGACTTGTTATTTGCCAGGTCTACACCTTGTTGGGAAGACATTACCAAATTACATCATCTAATTTGCCGAATTACAGGCAGCATGGTAAAAAAAGGTGTGAAGTTTAGAAACAAAAGACTTGGACGTCAGCTTCCTGGCTGTGTGATCTTAGGCAATAAATACTATGATTATTATAACCACCCACCCTTACTTTGAGGAAAACACTGCGTGGGGAGTTTTACTTTCATTATCTCATTTAATCCTCGTCACCACCGTCTTGTTACAGATGAAACTCCAGGGTAAACAACCTTACCTAACGTCATCCAATTGAAGTAGTATTAATAGAGAAACTCAACTCAGCTCTGCCGAATACAATCCCATGCCAGCCAGCGACGTGCTCTAAAGCAGTGGCCGGTCTTAGAGTATTGCCACCCATGAGTGACACAGGGGATGGGAGAGGGAGACAGGATACAGATGGGCCAGTTAAAATTACTAAATGGCTAGAGTAATGAGTAAGCCTTCAGCTAAATAACACAGGACACCATGTAACAGCAACTCACTTTACGAAATAGGAGGTGTCGTTTTAAGAAACACAAAGGGAAATTAAATATGTCGTTATCTCCCTGTTCTCAGAGAATTCGAGACCTATGTTACAAACTGAGCTTCTAGGTTCACCTAAAAATGTTATGAAATATACTTTTCACTCAAAGTTATGAAATCAACCCTTTTAATATTCTCCGTCTAAACTTCTCTTTCAGCCTCCTGGTGATGATTCGGATGAGGGAAGAGGTAAATGACTTCATTTCTACACTGCGTTTTTGCAAAGGGCTTACAGACATGTACAGGTTCTCAAATATTCATGTGAACATATATCTGCCCATGAACATGTCCATTTTAGATGCTCAATAAATGTTTGCTAATTCCTCGCAGTTGTGTGTACAGAACATACCAGCGCCAGGCTAAGCCCCACTCCAACCTCGAAGTCAATCTGGACTGCGACATGAAGTTCGCTGCCCTGCTCCCATTATTGTTTCCATGTAGGCTAAGAACTGACACCCTCCCGCTCTTCTGTGTTGCCCCAAATGGTCCTTAAATTGATGTCCACTTATCACCCCCTTCCAGATGATCATACTGAAAAATAGAGAAAACAAATAGTAGTAGTAGTAATAATAGTATAGTATAGTATAATAGCGGTAGTCACAGTGGTAACATTAATTCTAGCTAAATGTTAAAAAGGTTTGCATATGTGCTGACCTTTTTAACATAACATCTAAATCCTTTTGATACATAATACCTAAGCCTTACGTGGTAAGCACTATTTTAAAGCCTATTTTATACAAGGAAACTAAGGCTCAAAGACAGTGATTAATCTTCCATAAATTAAATAACTGTCCATATGTGAATTTGTTTCTGGCCTCTGTTCCTTTGGTCTGCTTATCTGTTTTTCAGCAATAACCCTATACTGTCTTAATTACTGTAGCTTTTTAAGGCTTGATATCTAGTAGTTTTAAGTTTTTCAGCTTTGGCTTTTTGGGGTTTTTGTTTGTTTCAGGGTGGCTATTCTTGTCTCTTAGCATTTCTACATAAATTTACACACACACACACATACCCCTAACACACTCTGAGATTACTTTTGGGATGGCACTGGATCTACAGATAAAATTTGGGTTAAGTAATGTCTTTACAATATTGAATCTATTAAGTTATGAACATGAGATATTTCTTCATGTATTTAGATCACCTTTAATTTCTCTCAACATTTTGTAGTTTTCTGTATAGACATCTTGTACATAGTGTGATACATTTATCCTTACATATTTAGTATTTCTGCATTTACTATAAATGATATAGGTTAAAACTTTTATTTTCTAATTTTTTGTTGTTGGAATGTAAAAACACAACTAATTTTTGTATGTTGATCTTATAACCTGAGACTTTGCTAAGTTTATTCATTAATTATAGTAATATGACTACTGATTATTTTGGATTCTCTATGTATAAAATCAGGTTGTCTCCAACAAAGATCATTTTATTTCTTCCTTTTCAATCCTACATCTTTCTGTTTTCTTTTCCTTTTTTCTCCCTCTCCCACCCCTGTTATACTGAATTAGCTAGAATCTTCATGCAAAGCTGAATAGAAATGGTGACAGTGGCCTTATAATGTTCCCAAACTCAGGGAAAAAGCATTCAATATTTCACCATTAAGTATGATGTTAGCTATAGAATTTTTGTAGATCTGCTTGTATTACTGCTTCTTTGAAAAGACACATGATCTGTCTTTTATTTATAGATGATTAAAAAATTTATCTCTTTATCTTTGGTTTTCAGCAGTTTTACTCTGGTGTGGTTAGGTGTGAGCTTCTTTTAATTTATTCAGCTTGGGTTACAGTGTTTCTTAAACCTGTGGCTTGATGTCTTTTATCAGTTTTGGAAAATTTTCAATCTTTATCTGTTAAATATTGCTTCTGCCCCATTTTCCCTCTAATCTCTCTCTGATCCTCCCATGTAGACCCTTTTAGCATGAGCCATATGTCTTTTATTCTCATTTTTGTGTCTGCCATTCTTTTTCCTCAGTATGATTCAATCTGGATATTTCTATGGACCTAGCTTCCAGCTCACTAATTCTCTCTTTAGCTATGTCCAATCTGCTAATAAAACCATATATTGAGTTCTTAATTTCAGAACGATTTTTGGGACTCAAATTTCCATTTAATTCTTCTCAATAGATTCTAGTTCTCTGATGAAATTCTCCATCTCGTCAACTATTTTCTTGACTATATTAATCACAATTATTTCAAAGGCTCTGAAACTCCAATATCTTAGTCACCTTTGGGTCTCTTTCTATTATTTTGGTTTCCTTGTACTCTGTTTCTTAGAGGCCTGGTAATTTTCTTGTTGTATTCCATATATGATGCATGAAAACTTTTAGAGGCTCAGTTCTCTCCTTCCAGAGAGGATTCGCCTGATCCTCTTGAAGGCAGCAAAGAGCAAAGGAGCAGATCGCCTCAACCCAATCACAGGCTGAGTTGATTCATGGCTGGTTAGTAATCTTTGTAGGGCTCAGAAAACCTCTGTTTTGTCCTCACTTCCAGGGTATAGTCCTCATAGAGTTTCAACCGAGAGCCTGTGTTATTTTCTAAGGTCCTTTCTCCTTGGCAGACCTTGAACCCCACTTTGTGTTTTTCTAGCACCACAGACTGTCAAAAACTCTGTCCTGCTTTTCATTTTCAGCCTCTTTCCCTGTACGGCTTTATCAACAAATGACTCAAAAGGAAAACTGTTGTCTAGATTTGAGTTCTTTCTTCTGGGCTTCTCTTCTCTTGGGGATCGTAATGCCTCACATCCTAGTTGTCTTGGCAGCCTCAAACTCCAATTTTTGTGTTCCCAGCCCCATGAGATTGCTTCCAGCTCCGCTGCCTTCTTTTCCTCTTGACAGACACCCTCAGGCTTTCTAGTCTCTTGCCCTGCACCAAGAATCAACAATCCAAAGGACCTATTAACTGGAGACCAGAGGCTTTCAACAGGCTTGAGTCAGTTCCGAGGGGAGGTGCGTTTTATTAGCACTAAGACAAACTCGGAGTGGCCTAGAGCGTCCTATTCTACCTACATCTTATAGCATTTAAGCCCTGTGATCTCGGCCATTGGGGGTTTGGAAGGACAGGAGGGAAGAGATGCTGCTGATTCTCCCTTACCCCACCTCCTCTTCCCTTTCACGTACCAGAGTCTCAGGGTCCTACCTAGGTGCTCTCAGAGGCTGCTTTAGAATAAATGACGCAGTGCTCTCGGGCTTTGGCAGCACACAGACCAAACTACAGGGCTGTTTTGAAGGGCCTGCTTCTGTGCTTAAAGTTGTGAAAGAGCTCAGGAAACTCAGCCGAGGCCTGTGCGGGCCATCCCACTTTGCTGTAATATATGGATAGGATTTATCATGCTAATAACTATGCCAGCAGCAACGTCTTAGTCCATTCTGCATTGCTATAAAG